AATTATCGTGCACCAGGTCAAGAAATTAGAAGTCTTTTCTGTGTTCTAGGCAAAAAAAAAAAAAAAAAGTTTTTAAACATCGGTAGTAGTGGAATTGAAAACGATGAGGTATAATCAGCCAGTTATTGGTGAATTTTGGTGTTAGATTAGGTTGAAAGTTGGGGATAGCTAAAAAATTCAGGATGATTGCCAGGTTTCTGACTTGAGCAGCTGGTGGTAATACAGTTACAGAGATTGAATACAGTTAAAGAGATCAAAGGAGGAATGGGCTTTGCAAAAATATTGAACAGGCTCTGTTGAGTCTGCATTTTAAAAGTCATATACCGTGTAATTTAATACTCAGATAGAATTTAAAGTAGAAAAGTGCTCCAAGGGCTACCAATATTCAGAGAGCTGGTAGACCCAAGTCAAACCAGCAAGTGAGACTTAGAATTTACTACTAGAGAAGTAAGAGGAAAGCTTAGCATCCTAGAAGTTTGTAGATGTTGGTAGCGTGTCATTGTTTCCTTCTTCTCTGTCACATCATTTGTTTTCTGTTGACATAATTGCATATAGACTGATTATTTCAGTATGTGCACATTGTATAATGATGAAAACAGGGTGTCAACTGTCATCTATTACTCGCCTTATTTTGGGGTTGAATTTTGGTGAGCTAGTGAGATAGACTTGGTGGTACATGCCTTTAATTCTGGCATCCTGGAAGCTGAGACAGAGGCAGGTGAATCTCTGTGAGTTCAAGGTCAATATACATAGCAAGTTCCAGGGCAGCTAAGGACACACAGTGAGATTCTGGTTTTTTCAGTTTTGTTTCTTTTTATGTAGGCTTGTGAGATGGCTTGCTACGAATCTGAGTATGATTTCTGGGACCTACAGAACTAATTCCCTAAAGTTGTCTTCCACCCTACACAGACACAAACTCTCAAAGGAATAAGGTAGAAAGAGGGAAAGAGACAGACCCACACACCTTTGTGTATACATTGCACATATACAAAAAGATAAATGAAATAAAAATTAAAACTTCTCATTTTATTGACTACCAGATAATACTGCAGTATGTATTTCAGGGAGTTTCAACTTTTTTGGGTTTGTTTGATAAAATTAATAAGCATAGTCATTGCCATTTGATAACGAATTTTATTTATTTGTTTTTAAAATTTTTATTATTGTCTGCATACTTGAGAGGTTAAGTGCTCAGTTATAGTTCTCATGGGTTCTATGATTTTCTGTTCTTTCAGAGATCCTTGTTCCAGAGATCAAACTCAGGTCATCTGTCTTGAGTATTAGCTGCCTTTTTTACACGCTGAGCCATCTTTATTGGCCCAGATTTGAATGTTCTGCAGTATATCAAATTATTAAAAACACTACTACTTTTGACAGACAGAGCAAAGTAATTCTCATATAGTAGTTATTGAAGTAGTGAGAAATGACTGCATGTTTTGAGAATGAAACTGACATTTGTTGATGGAATGCATATAGAAAGATTGAGAGAAGGGAGTCAGGAATGATCGCAAATTATTAGGCAAGTTGTTGTAAATGAAATGTTTTGCCGAGTATGGTTGTGCACAACTCCTAATACAAATACTCTGGAGGCAGGGGCAGTCAGTCTCTGGAGGTCAAGGCCAGTCTGGTTTACACAGTGAGTTTCAGGACAGCCAGGGCTACGCAAAGAATCTCTACCTCTAAATATCAGAGGTGTGCAGTGAGGGGAGAGGGAGAAAGAAAGAAAGAGAGAGAGGTGTCTTCTCTTTGAGACTAAAGGGATGGAGAGATGGCACAGTGGTTGAGAGTATGGGCTGCTCTTCCAGAGTACCCACATTTGATTACCAGCACCCACATAATGGCTCACACTGTATGTAACTCCAGTTCCAGGGGACCACCTTCTGGCCTCTCTGGGCACCAGGCATGCATGTGGTACACAGACATACATACTTATAACATATAAAGTTTTTTTTTAAATTTAATCAGTGGGTTTTTTGTTTGGGTTTTGGTTGAGGCAGGGTTCCTCTCTGCATAGCCCTGGCTATCCAGGAACTCATTATTTAAACCAGGCTGGCCTCAATCTCTACCTGCCTCTGTTCTGAGTATTGGGATTAAAGGTGTGCACCACCACTGCCTAGCTAAATAATGGTGGTTTTTAAGGTACAGTTTTACACTGTAACTTTATTTAGGCTTGCCTTCAGCTCATTGTATAGTCCAGGCTGGACTCAAATTTACAGCATCTTTCTGTTTCCATCTCTTCTCATCTTCTATCTCTTTTCAGACTCTGTTCAAGAAATGGAAGGCAAAGTTTTCCTATATGTTTCTCAAACGTAATCAAAATACTTCTTCCTCAGGAGTTTGACACTTATAATGTTCTGCCTGGCTTACACCTGTCTCCTTCCTTAAGTATAGGATTATTCATCTAACTTGCTGTATCCTGTATCCTAGTAAATTGTATTGACCATCTACAAGAATTTTAAAGAGGAAGCTGGAGAGGTGAATAAATGGTTAGAACACTGCAGCTCTTGTGTAGGACCAGAGTTCAGTTCTCAGCACCTATGTGAAAGTAGGTTCCAGTGGATCTCATGTTGTCTTCTGGCCTCTACAGGCATTCCCACACATGTGGGTGTTTACACACACTTAGACCAACAGAGACACATAAATTTAAAAATCATGTACTATGTGCATATTGAGTTTTAAAGTCTTCGTTCATTTGTATCTGCATTTTAATGTTGACAAAGGGAATAATTGCAGTCACTAGTTTTGTTTAATGAAGTCTACAGAAGAAAACACAAATTTATCATAAACTGGGTGTGGTTTATACCTTTAATCTTGGCACTGGAGAGATGGAACCATAAAGATTGCATTGAGTTTAAGGCTATCCTAGGCTTCAAGGTTTCTGACAACAAAAAACAAGTAAGTTCCTTAGTGAAAGTGACCTGTCAGTAATGGTGACATTGGAGGTGGAAACAGGAAGATTGTTACAGATTGCAGGTCATTTAGGACTACATTGTGAGTAGGGAGACATTATTTCAAGAAATAAAGTCAAACTTCTCATAAAAATAAGATCAAATTGTCTTAAGGGTAATATGGGTAATCATTGTTAATTCTACAATGTAGCAACTTAAATATTTTTACTTGACAAATATATTTTTATTGAGCACTGTATATTTTTAAAATATATACTAATGTAGCAATTTTAAATTTGTTAATTGCCTTTATCAAGTTCAAAACAAAGACAACTTAGTAACATTAAGTTTTCCATATGTGTTTGGTTAAAGCAATGCTCTGTGTGTACAGTGTATGTTATGCATCTATTTCTAGAAGTTTGCTTGGTACACTTAAATGTTTCACAGGTACCTAAAGTTCAATACACTTATTATTGAACTATTTCTTTGAAATACTTATTTATTTTATGTGTTATTGGTGTTTTGCGTGCTTGCATGTTTGTGCACTAGGATTATCCAGATCCTTAAGAGCCAGTTTGTAACGAGACAGTTTGTAAGCAGTTTCTGTTGTCTTCCCAGTTTCATTTTGTGCTCCTTCTCCCTCAGTCATCTTCATCATTAGGGAATTTTCACATACATACTGTTTACTTTGGTAACATCTTTTTCTTGTTCCTTTACATAATATGCCATAATAACTAACACTTTTTTTTATTACACTTTTACATTATAACTGTATTTATATGATAAGTTGTTTCCTTTCTAAGTTAAAGTTTGTGATGCAGTATTTGTTTGACTGGTAACTATATCTTACTGTGTCATACGGTTCTCAAGATAATTTTGAGGCCCTCAGAAAATATTTGTTAAACTAATAATGGGATATATTAAGAATAATGAATTAGGGCTGGGGAGATGGGTGAGTGTTTGGTGCACAAGCATGAGGACTTGAGGTCCTATCCCTAGCACTTACAGAAGCTGAGCTGTAATTCCTGGGGTGGGAGAGGGGCGGGGACGGGTGGATCTTTTCAGTTCATTGGCCAGTTAGCCTAGCTAGATTGGTGAGTGTGAGGTTCTATGAGAAGCTCTAACTCAAAATAAGGGGAAGCAGTGAGGTAGCTCAGCAGATCAAGGCTCCCTGTCTCTCCGTCTATAATCCTGACAGTTTTTAAAATGAAATGTTTGAAACCAACATAAAGCCAGTAAAATAATTCTTTATTTTTTTTAATAAAAATGGGATTTGTTAAAAATGTAGAAAATATATTTCTTTAAAATTAAAGTCTTGTGACAGGCATAATGGTGCTCATTTTTAATTCTAGCATTCTGGAGACTGAGGAAGGAGGAGTTTGAGGTTTACAGGCAGACCCTGTCTTAGAGGGGGGTGAAAAAAGGAGAATCGGATTCAAAATACACAGTTATTTCTGTGTTGTATTTGTATTTGGACATCAGTAGCAGAAGCTTCTTAGCTTGTTTATAATGATTTTTATGTTTTGTTTTGGCTTCTTCTAGACAAGATTTCTCTGTGTAGCCCTCCATCATGCTAGTCTTAAAGACTTGCATCACTTTAACAGCTACAATCTCAAGACAGGTGTTCACATGTCATCTTAGCACTTGGAGGCTGGAAGCAGCAGGGTCAGATTAAGATCCTCTTCATTACCAAGTACAAGGCCAAGTCTGGGCTACATGAGATTCTTTGTCAAAAAGCAAGATGCACACATACACACAGATACATACACAAACAAGTACACTGAAGAGAGAGATCTCCCTGTGACTGGCTTCATACTTTATATCCTCTTGTCTTGGCCCCTTAAGTGCTGTGATCTAGGAATATGCTTCCATGCTCTGCTGGAGTGGTGATTCTTAAAGCCTGATTTGTGCCACAGTATTATAGCTTGTTCACATCTACAGAACAAGAAAAATTCGAAATTTTTAAGTGAATTCACAAGTAAATAATGTGTATATATTCTAAACTACGTTTTGATTTAACAGATTTTTTGGTGCTTATCCTGTTGTCCTTATTGCTCCTTTATTAATTATTGTTTATTTTCTGATAAATTTTTGTTATGATCTATCCTGCAGGGAAAGAGATGCTGGTCGCAAGTTTTGGAAAACCGTATTTTTTTATGGAACAGTGTTCTGTAAAAGTTTTATAAGATTCCTTGGCAATAACACACTTGTGATGGACTCTAGGAATACTGCTATGTTAGGATTGGGTTCTGATTCCGAAGGATTTTCAAGGAAGAGTCCTTCTACCATCAATACTGGCACTCTGGCCAGCAAGAGAGAAGTAGAAATAGAGAGTAACACGAAAGAAGAAGAGGATCCGCGCAAGCGGAATCGAGAAAGGAACAGTGAAGTAGGAAAAGATGATGGTTTGACTGATGCACAGCAACAGTTTTCAGTGAAAGAAACAAACTTCTCAGAGGGAAACTTAAAATTGAAAATTGGCCTTCAGGCTAAGAGAACTAAAAAGCCTCCAAAAAACTTGGAGAACTATGTGTGTCGGCCTGCCATAAAAACAACCATCAAGCACTCAAGAAAAGCACTTAAAAGTGGGAAGATGACAGATGAGAAGAGTGACCACTGCCCTTCAAAATGGGTGAGTGAACTTTCCAACTGCACATGGTCATTGTCAGTGCTTGGATTTCTCTATCAATCTTTGTTTGCACTACTCTTTAGCTATTTCTAAATAGGCCATAAAGGATGGTAAAGTATAACAACATAATTGTGTCTATATTTAAATTTTTGTGTGTATGAATGTGTCTAGTGAATGCCATTTCATGCATCTAAAGGTCAGAGGACAACTTTGGTGTCAGTTTTTTCCATCTTCACATGGTTTCTAGGGATTGAACTCGGGGCAGGCTTTCAAGACAAGTGTACTTAGCGGCTGAGCCGTCTTACAGGTACAAATGTCTGGTTGTCCCTGGATTTTTACTTGTAAAATTATGACATGATAAATGGAGCTAATTTGTGTAAACCAGATCAGATTGTTGCTCCCAGTGTAACAATGGGGAAAAAAATTGGCGATTATATTTAAGACATATAGATTTGAATCTTGTCTTTCTATTTCCAATAACGAAAGAATGAAAATATTAATAACAAATAAATTGAGGCTCAGATAAAACAAATTATCATAGCACCTCTCCTTTAACATGGCTGAAGGATGTGATTTACCTACAGCAGGAGAGCGTTTGTGAAGTGACAGTTGTTGTACAGGGTGTTGATGTTGCTGTTTCTCCTAAGGTCCACTGCTTCTGTGGAAACCTGTGCAGATCCTGACTCAGAGTAACAAACAGAAAACCAAACATAATGATTAATTATTCTTCTTTAAAAACATGGATTTAATGTGGGCTTGGTAGCAAGGGTAATGCATCCCTTGCTTCAAGTATTTGGGAGGCAGCAGCAGGTGGATCTTTGAGTTTGAGGCCAGCTTGGTCTACATGGGGAGTTCCAGACCAATCAGCTACATAGTGAGACATTGTCTCAAAATAAATAATTTGAGGTACATTGGTGTTTTGCTTGCATATCTCTTTTCAATGTACTCATACCTGGTTTCATAAAGGTCAGATTAAGGTCAGGAATTGCCTAGAATTGAAATTAACCAGCTATGAGCCTCCATGTGAATACTGGGAACTAAACTCTGGTCCAGTGGAAGAACAGTCTGCTCTCTTAACTACTGAGCCATTGTCCAGGCCCATGACTGATTTTTCTTAACTTTGCTCTGTCTAATAACAGTAGCAATCTGTGCGACAGTCTTTTGACCAGAAGTTTTAGTTACATTATTTAGTATCGGTGTATATATATATATATACAATGTGTGTCCTCTACAGGATCAAGAGTATACATTAGTATTAAGGGTGGAGCTAGACAGAATTGGCCTACCACTTTATCTGTATTATCAGTGTATGAAATGACTTGACTCTTATTTTTTTTCTCCGTGATCTGTGATGTTTTACCTGCATGTATGTCTGTGCACCATGCATGTAGTGCTCACAGAAGCCAGAAGAGGCCATCAGAACCTCCTTAGACATACTGTAACCCCATGTGAGTTCTAAGAATCCAACCTGGGTCTTTGGTCTAGCAGCTGAGCCATCTCTCTAGCAACACCCCCCTCCCCTGTTTTCCTTTTTTTATTTGTTTTTGCTTTTGTTAAAGAGAGTCTTTGCTGTGTAGCTCAGGTGTCCTGAAGTGTGCTCTTCTAGCTTAGACAGCTGGGTGCTTGGAGTGCAGACATGCTTCTATCCCTAACTTGTCATTAATTCTTTATTATTTTAAAAAAAATTATCTAAAAGTCTATGAGTGTATGTGGTGTATGTACATGCATGTGTACAGGTAGATTGGTGTGCAGAGACCAAAGTTATGCATCAAATGTTTACTACTGTTTATGTCATTCCTTGGAAACGGGGTTGTTCGCTGACTCCAGAGCTAAGCTGGCATCAGAAAGGCCCCTGAATCTTCCTGTCTCCACCCATGACCATGCCCAGCTGTGTGTGTATTTGCTGGGAATTAGAACTCAAATCTTCATGTTTGCAAACAAAGCACTCTTAGCCTCTGAGCCATCTCCCCAGTACCTAATTCTCTTTTTTGTGTGATAGTCTTCTATATGTCTCAGGCTGACCTAGAATTTATATTTCTCCTCCCCAAGCCTCACAGGTGCTAAGACGATGGGAATGTGCAGCACCACACCTATCTTATTATCAATATTATTATTTTTTTTTTATTTTATTTAGGAGAGGGGGTGTATCCTGCAGTGACTATACAGATTCAAGAACAACTTTGTGAGTTGGTTCTCTCAGTCAACTATGGGTCCTGGAAATCAAACTCAGATCATCAGGCTTGCTTGTCAAGGCACCTTTTACTGAGCCATCTTGTTAGCCCTTATTACCCATAAGTCTTTACTCCGAAGTTTGTGCTTTTCCATGTTTTCAGGATCTTTGCTGCAGGTTCTTTGCAGGATTGCTATGGCATCCAAAAGTGTGAGTGTGTTAAGACAGGGTCTCTTGCAGTTGGTCTAGCAGTTTGCTATATAGCTAAGTTTTACCTTGAACTCTTGACCCTGCGCCTTGGGTTGTGTTTACTTGAGTAGGCCACTTGGTTTGACCAGAACTTTTTTGGTTCTTGTTTGAGTTGTTTCCAGCTGAAAGTTTCACTGTGTCACTCTGGCTGACCGGGAACTTACTATATAGACCTTCCTGGCCCCAAACTCAAAGAGACCTATCTGCGTCTGCCTCCAGAGTGCTGGGATTAAAAGCATGGCCTTTTATTTATTAGTACTGGGTTTTGAACCCAGAGGTTCGCCTCCCCTTTACCACTAAGTTGAGCTCTCCAGCCTTCTATTCCCAGCTGGGCATGTGAACTGTTGACCTTTCCTCAGAGGGGAGTTGGGATTGTAAGCAATTCTGCATTGATTGCACATGGCCCTAGGAATCAGGGGGAGGTTAGAGTATGTAGGCTGGAGAAGACTAGAAGAGTGCTCCATCTGTGTATCATCCTTGCTAGGTACAGACTTCCCAGTGTTGCTTCTTTGGAGTCACCATCCCCTGTAAGTAAGCTCAGTAAACTAATAAGGGGGATCTTTGTTTTGTATTGAGACCTTAGCAGGAGGGGAGTAGGTGTTCTTGCAACAAATACTAGCCCGTCATTGTTCCTGAATATACTGTCATCATTTAAACTTACCTATTTCTGAATCACCATTTAGGAAGTTGGCTTGATAATACCATGGTGATATAATGATAATACTGTGGGTAGAAAAGTAAGTCCTGAAGCAAAGTGAAGAAATTTTTGTATTTAATATATTTTTAGGGTTACATTTGCTAGAATAGTCATACTACATTAAGATCATGCAGTGTTTAGGGATGGAGAGATGGATTAGCCCTTCTAAAGGATCTGTGTTCTATTCCCAGCACCTACATGGCAACTCAAAGCCATCTGCAACTCTGCTTCCAGAGTATCACATACCTTGCTCTGGCTTCCATGGGCACCTAAATCAATATGGTACAAAAGCACCCATACACATAAAACAAGAATGTAAAAATTAAAAAAAGATGTTGTTTAGAACCAGATTGATGAAAAGAATCTTCCAGGAAAGCAAACGATGCATCATTTTTATATCTTCTAGAAATTTGTATATATAAACACCTACATGTCTCCTACATACATATTCTTCTCCATTTAAAAATATAAATGCCATATTGATAATATTGTTTTATATACTGTTGTTCTTTATGTAATCCTGGCTTGCCTGGAGCTTACTAGGTAGACTAGCATGCCTCTGCCTACCTAGTGCTTTTTTAACTTAGCTAATTCTGAAGATTTTTCCTAAATAGCAGGAGTGACATAGCTTCTTGAAATGTGGGTTTAAATTTCTTTCAGTTTGTATTTTTCTAATTTATATTTATTGTGTGTTTGCATGCATATGCATGCCATAGTATGTATGTGATATCGGAGTGTAAATTGTGGGTATGGGCTCTAGGGCTCAAACTCTGGTTCTCAGGCTTGCTGGCAAGCACCTTTACCCCAAGAGCCATCTTGCCAACCTTTAGTTGGTTAGTTTTCTTTAGATATTATTTTGTCAGTTTCCATGCAGAAATGTATGGTTTTCAATTCATAACTCATTTTGGATGTAGTTTAGTTGGTAAAGTGCTTATGTAACAGGTATGAGGCCTATATGTAATCCCTAGCATTGGGTAAAAAATTTGTAAATTTGTATCCATGCTAACCTCAAACTCAAGATCCTCTTGCCTTGGCGATCTTGGTGCTGGGATTGTAGGCACTGTAAGCATGTGTCACTCTGCCCAGCATAAATCTTTACTTGTGATGTCTGGATTTTGATACATCATTTGAAAAACTTCCATTTATCGAAAAAATTTTTTACTTATACTTTAGCAGCTTCATATCTATATAGAATATATTATCACATCCATCTCCAACTCTACCTTCCACTTCAACACATGCTCTATCTACTTTTATTCCTCTTTCTTCTTCTGCTTTAAGTGTGTGTGTGCCTATGAGTGTAGGTGTCCATGCTGGACAGAGGTGTAGGATCTCCCTGAAGCTGGAGTTAAAGGTGGTTGTGCCCACACATGTGAGTCCTTGGACTTTAACTTACATCTTCTGCCAAAAGCCGGTATGTGTTCTTAACTGGAGAGACGTTTCCCTGTGGCCACCAATCCCTGTTTTAGTGGGTCTGTGATTGGTGTATAGGAAGGCAGACTGTTGATTTGTGGGGCCTTGGGTGGGGGGATTTGATTTAGTATCCTGCCATTTTGCTTAAAGTGTTTATCAGTTCTTGTGAGTTTTCTAAGGCTTTGGGGACTCGGGTATAGAGTCCTGTCATCTACAGACAGGTACCTGACTTCTTTCCTCTTTGTGTCCCTTTATTTGCTGCCCATGTCTTACTGCAGTAAGACTGCTGTCTAGTGGAGAAAGTGCACATCCTTGTTTTATCCCAATTTTAGTAGAAATGCTTTGGAGTCTTCCCCCCATTATATAATGTTGGCTAAAGTTTGCCATTTGTTTGTTTAGTTGGTTGGTTAGTTGATTGGTTTTTGAGACAGGGTTTCTCTGTGTTACATCTTTAAAGATCTGGTAAAATTTACC